TCGGTCTTGGAGCCAGAGGGAGCGGGCATCGGGTAAGTAAAAGTCCTTCACACAGGTCCCCTAGACAGGAATGAGAAGTTAACCCTTACTGTCAAAGCAGAACTCTGGGCTAATCAAATCTTAACCCTTGCAGTGGGGCTACCCCAGCACAGCAAGGGTTAAGTGCTCATTTTGTCTACGGGGCTAAAATAACAAAAGTAAATGCACCGGATCCACAATGCCGGCTTACTCTTAGGCCTGGTTCACACCTGTACGTTTTGTAGCACTTTCAACGCTCTACAAAACGCTCAAACATGAAAATGCCATTGTTTCCTATGGGTCTGGTTCCCACCTTGCCGTATTTCAGCCCGTCTGAACGCGCTACAAAACGGCCTACGCCTGAAAAGGTACATGAGCTTCTTTGCGGCGTTTTTATCGCGCATTTCCATTGGGATACAGCCAAGTAGCCCTCGGAAACGCGTGTTTTTTTAAACCGCGAATCGTGGTAAAAACGTGCGTCACGAAACGCGCATATTCAATACGCCAAGGTCTGAACAGAGCCGAACACGGTTCCCTCCAGCCTGTCCCCTCCACTCCAGTGATGGTATGTCCCTCGGCGTCAATACACTGTATAGGATGTGATGACTCACAGGACCTTAGACCGCTGGAGCAGAGGGGGAGCGAGGCTGAGCGGAGCGGTCTAAGAGCAAGCCGGGGTTGTGGTTCGGGTGAGTATAAGTTTGTTATTTTAGCTTAACCCTTGCAGTGCTGGGGGACAGTAAAAAAAAAAGCAGACCATTCATTTCACTTGGAAAGTCCGCTTTAAGACAAAAAGGTCATTTATAAAACAGAAACATCCGCCTTCTGCCGATCGGCCTCTGCGCACGACTCTGCGGCCACACTCATACATTCTCATACCGTGCTCTTGTCTACAGGGATTGTACCTGACAATGTAGAGCTTGGATTGGATAAGGTACATAAAAGTAAATTCAGCCAATCGGGTATTCTGCCAGACGGACAGAATATTATTGTGCGGATCAATGAGATCCCATCCCGGACGACGATTCTGCATTTCCAGTGTGAAGCACCTAAAGTTGAGTCACCTTCGTAGGAGGTGCTGTAGTTCTACTAAATGGCCTCTAGATGGCGATATCTGAGCATTTCTGGATGGCAAAGGCCAAGTAAAGCCGCTAATGTACCCAAAGCAGGTGGCCGACGTGGCTCTATGCCAGTGGTAGGCAAACGTGGCACTCCAGCTGTTGAGGAACTACAAGTCCCATGAGGCATCGCAGGACTCTGACAGTCACAACCATGAGAATTTGTAGTGTCACTACAGCTGGCGTGCCGAGGTTGAATGTCCCTGCTCTATGCTCACATTCTAACACGCCCTATGCCCAAGGTCGCCATTAGGAATCATTGGGCCCCTTACAGCCTACCTGGCACAGCCGCCCACATCACTTGTAGTTGACAAGCTGCGCAGGCACCGCAGGGAGTTCTCATTGGAGGAAGCTGTGTGGGCAGCCCCTGCCGTCCTTATGGGGGCCCGGTACGTGAGGGCTGGTTTACCCCCTATCAGGGGCCCTGCCTATGCCTCTCTAATGTACCCTGTTCTTTCTAGCCCATAGATGACCCCGATACAGAATTGATAAACTCCTCTTTATCTTTGTGCAATTGCTCATAAACAGTGAAGACTTCTTTTCTCAAAAGCTCCAAAAGTAAATAAATAAAGCTTTGTTCTGTGACCCCCCCCCGACACACGTCCCAATAAATACACTCACATTCCACTAAATAAAAGGAGTGACTAAAAATCTCTCGCTTCCCAGATATGTTTCAAGAGATAACTTAGCTGTCCGCAAAGGAAACCTTCATCTAAATCGGGAAAGCCAAAATGGCGAACGTCGCCCGGCAAAGATATTTGCGCTTTCACAGGAATTAATCACTCAGTAACTTCCTACCCCAGAAGCAATATCTCTATTTGCACATTGTCCCCTGTATAAGCTCCAACCAGAGGGACTTGGAACTTATATGGGGCATCTCCTCTAGGCTCCAGCATGAGGACGAAGCAGTGGCGGGGAAGAGGGGGAACCTATGACTCCTTCTTAATCCTACATGCCGAGGGACGATGGAAGTCAGGTGCAGAGACACCATGGGGCCTATCAATGAACCATTTTAAGGGCCCTTTGCCCAGTGAATATCTGTGAACGTTCGTTTTGGGCAAGTAATGACTGAAACAAAACGTCCTCAACATATTTTATTTTCAGGTGGAATGTATTGTGATGTAATACTGCATTATGGCCACCAGATGGGGCTGAGGGGCATAGGCAATATAGGAAATAATTACTTTTCCTGCAGCTCACCATGTCAGCCTACTAATGGGTTGACTCCTCCTCTTGACCCCATAGGACATCCCCTAAAAACATAATAAATAGAGGGGTTACCCTTGTTTGCGCTCTGGATACCTCCATGTGTGCTGTCCCACCCTGGTTCAGCCTCTCCAGGGTGGAAGACTCCTTGTCGGGTGGTAAATCCTCCATAGTGGGGGTTCCCTTGTGCCAGGTTCATTTTAGTGGTTTAAATAGCTGCGCTCTTCTGTCTGGGGGCAAGTTGTTTTTCACAGGTGGCCGGCTGTTTTATTTTGGTCCCTCTGTGCCCAGGGTCCCCTCACTCCCCTTGCTGTTTCCCCTTGTTGCTACCTGCCCCTGGCTTGGTACTCCCTGTGCCTCTGTACCCCTGGATTGGTACCTGCATGCCTCTGGCTTGGTACTGCCGTGCCTCTGGCTTGGTACTCCCTGTGCCTCTGTACCCCTGGATTGGTACCCCATGCCTCTGTACCCCTGGATTGGTACCTGCATGCCTCTGGCTTGGTACTCCCGTGCCTCTGGCTTGGTACTTCCTGTGCCTCTGTACCCCTGGCTTGGTACCTCCATGCCTCTGGCTTGGTACCCCCATGTCTCTGTGCCCCTGGCTTGGTACCCCCATGACTCTGTACCCCTGGATTGGTACCTGCATGCCTCTGGCTTGGTACTTCAATGTCTCTGTGCCCCTGGCTTGGTACCCCCATGACTCTGTACCCCTGGATTGGTACCTCCATGCCTCTGGATTGGTACCTCCATGCCTCTGGCTTTGTACAACCCTGCCTGTGCCCCTGGATTGGTACCCCCATGCCTCTTGCGTTGTTACTCCCATGCCTCTGGCCTCTTTGCCCCTGTTGCTTTGCCTCATCTTGCTGGGTTCCCCGCTGCCTTGTGCCACATCTGGGCGTCTATGCTCTTCAGCTCCATCTAGTAGCCACACTGCAGTATTACATCACAATGCATTCAACCTGAAAAGAAAACACATTAAGAACATTAATTCTTGTCCTTATTCGCACATAACAATGTTCACAGATGCTGGATTTTGTCTAGGGTCTAAAACAGGGGTAGGCAACCTTGGCTCTCCAGCTGTGCTAAAACTGCAAATCCCATCATGCTTCTGCTGCCTCTGGGAGTCATGCCTGTGGCTTGCAATGCCTTATGAGATTTGTAGTTTCAGCACAGCTGGAGAGCCGAGGTTGCCTACCCCTGGTCTAAAATAAAAAAAGTTATACTCAGGGATGGGTGGTTGTTAGAGCGCTTCCTCCAGCCCCTCCTCCTCCAGTAATGGTATATCCCTCAGCGTCCTCACGTCCAATACACACTGTATTGGA